CCGATTTGCAGTGATGACCAAGACCCACTCTAACTCGAATGTAAATGAATAACTGAACTAATAGCAGAAAGAAGGAGCGGTGATAAAGTGTGTAGCTTCTTAACCGCTACAATCACAGTTAATGAAATATCAGTAGACGGAAGCAGATAGTAAAAATACAGTAGTATACTTTGAATTAACAGTGGGCTTCCCAGTAAAATGAGACACTATAAGAGCATTCTGCTGGGACGGTTTATTCCATTCATTTGTCGTCTTTAAATAGAAGTCTCCACAGATGCCCGTCACGTACTCTGGACAACCTTCCCACAATTAATAGTTTTACTACTTTGTCTTTGCTGAGCTTTAGGAAGACAATACCATTTATTTAATGCAGATTAAAATACACATTGATAATGAAGAACAGATTAGTTAAGACTTAGTTAATTACTATTTTCAGTGCAGTTTGCTATCAATTAATTATATTATCATGCAATAGCTAGCATACGTCTGCTCCCAATTGGTTAGATACTTCTGCAACTATATTCCTACTGAAATCCACAGCAAAATTGCCATTGCTCCAGTAAGCTTTAATGAAGCCCCTAAGACTCAGGAAAACAAGGCCAGTCATCTGTACTTTGTGTTGCTTTGCTAGCATTTATGACTTTAAATGAAGTCAAGCAAAGTTACTCTGTTCTACATATGGCTTGTCCTATACTTTCAGCTGTGCTATCTGCCACGTAGGAGTGCACTAAAACATGGGCTTGAAGGGGTTTAGCAGCTGAATGAAGAAACTGAATTTATGCCATAACTTGGGTGTATTTGCTAGAGAAAAATCCTTAGACTGTAGACTGTTTTCAGTACAGGGACTCACTTCGATGTTTGGAAAAAGTGGCAAAAAGCATGCCAGTTACCAAATACATAGTACTACAGTAGACAGGATAACTGAAAGTCAGATATGCTAGAGACAACCACTGCAATAAAATTTCCATGTTAAAGAATTGTTGAAAAATAACAATAAGCATTTTTCAATAATACTATTATGCTGGGCTTTAATGGTTAGCTTGACCCCAGAGCTTACCACAATTAAATAAACCAATACCACTTAAAACTGCTGCTCAAGACATTGCTTAGAAGAATGTGTCTAATCATAGTTCAGTTTTTTATTTGTCACCCTTTTCAGTGTTTAAATGCCTAAAGACAAGATCTTCTGAACAAGTGTGGCTCTATATATGAAAGTCTCTAATGAACATATATACACTTTGAGTTCCTCCCCTTCACAATATTCACCTGCATTTTAAATGAATTGCTGACCCGTCACAAGCATATGAAGGCATTGGACCTGTCTCCTCAGAATGTATGCGTCTTTCAAGGAATAACACCAAGATGCTGACATTATAACACTATCTGCTGAAAACCCCACTCTTCACCACAGGTCAGGAGTCTAAGTCACGCTCCAGAAATTCCTGAGGTGTGCACTGGGTGCGCATATGACCTCGGGAGGGAGTCAAGGTTCATTTCTTGATGCAGCCTCCTCCAGTAACTGGTACACAACCTAAAGCATCTATTCCATTACTTCTATTAGACTCACAAAGCTGATTCACTATGTCACTGCCCTCTGTCTCACTGTTAAAATACCAGTGAGACACATCAGCAAAGTATGCCTCATTAGCTAGAAACTAGTGATTTAGGGAACATCATTAATATTCTTTGACCACCCTGTGCTCAAGTGTACAATACATTTACTGGCTGGAGCGGTTGGTCCAGGGATGTGGCCACTTTAAAGTCAAGGCAGACAGACCTCTTCTGTAATGAAGAAGTGGAATTTCCAGAATACAATTCTTCATGTTGTACAGGGGATGTTTCTTGCTTTGGGTTTACACACCGTCCTTGTACAGGAGTCTCGGAGTCCAATTTGTTCTCCAACATAATTTCAGAGCACTGCTCTACTCTGTCAAAACGATGCATCTCCTAACTTGAGAAGAGTCTTTTCCATAAAGATAAACAAATCTTTTTTTAAATTGTCTTTTAATTCCGCATTACTAAAGCTATCAGACTTTGCTCCTTTAGGGTATTACTGTGTAACATTTTGTTGTCAGCAAAACAATTAAAATAATATTTTCAATTTTTAGTAAGTTACTGAAAAGCAAATCCTTTTAAGCCTCTCAGGTAAATAAACAAAGTTTTGTTAAACAAATTGCTCCATCCATAATGTACAGATTTTATTTTCTCTGTTGAATGGTTACACAATAGTCCATGTAACTAAGATCTCATGAATTTTTCCTCTTTACTTTGTCCTCCTCAAAAAGACTCAATTTTTTTTTTTGTACAAGACACTAAAAAACATCCCGTTTCAGTTTTCCTATTCCAAACTCGATTCCAAATGTTTCTCCTTTCCCTTAGCATTAAGCTTTGGGCTCTGCAATTAACACACATCAAATAGATCTCAGGATGTGACCAAAAGGTGTAATGCTACTATGATGCATGTTTGAATTTAGGCATGCAAGTAATCCAATTAAAGTCAGTACCTGTGAAGTCAAGCACATAAGCCGAAGAAAGGCTTTAATATTGTTTCTGTGTCCAGGTTCTCAAGTGCTTTCACAGCCATTTCTCTAACATGTATCATCTGCATCCCATTTAAAAAAAAATACTAAGATACCCCTCAGTGTGCTGTGCGGAAATTCTCAAGAGTACCACAGAAAGACTCAGTATGCAGCAGTTGTTCATGGTATGACTCTCTGCCTAAAACACTAAAAATTTCTTAATAGTGCAATAAAGAGAACTAACTTGAATTATAGTTGAGTTATACCGAACTACTGAATTACAGTTAAAAGTGGCAATTCTCTTGTTTAACATAATGCTAGATACAAGAAATCACTTAGTGCAGAAACTTGAATTCAGTACTCTAGCAAAACCCTACCAACTTGGCAAGAGTTTTACTCAAGTAAGTATTGAGTGATTCTTCAAACACTTCTGAATTATTAATCAGGCCTGCAAGCACTTGCAAACTGGGGTCTGAGAACTTGGTCCTTTATTTATTTAGAATAAAAGAAAAAGAAATATTAGTTTAAAATACATTTCTTGAATTTCTGAACCCATTGAGATAATTTATTTGTAATATTTCAAAAGGTTTTTTTTAATCATCCCATATATGACCAACATTTGTAATCCCTGTCATTCCTGTAATGAATTGTAGATATAGAATATAAAAGTATTTTTTGTTTAAATATCTTACAAAAAGAATCATTATACTTCATGCTCCAAAGCACACAATAGTGACCGGTGAGATTATGAAGTATCTTAATTATGGCATTACTTCTATACAAAATCTTTTAAACTACGATACAGGAGCAACATATTTGATTATTTTTTTGTTTTTCTAATGTCAGAGCAGAATAATGCATTTAATGGATTAATAATCTGATACAGAAAAACACCTCCTATGCAGTAACTCCATAGAATGCAACACTCTGGATTATTAAAATATGCTAGGCAGACTAACCGTAATTTAAAAAAATTCCTGCTAAACAAAAAATACGCAGTTTGACACAAAGACCAGCTGACTTTTAATTATACTTTAATTCAGACTAATTTATCTAAACGAAAACCCACTATAAACACACAAACTACGCTCACTATACTAGCTAGGCAAACTCACAAAGTATGTTTTGAAAACGGAATTATTTAAATTCAGGAATAACTTTTTTTTTTTTAAAGATTACAGTAACTGAGCTAAACCAACATATTTCAGATTTGACAGAGGAGGGGGAGAGGTTGATAACATACTAAGTAATTCAATACCTTCATTCATATGACCTTAGTCTGACTGCAGTTCAATCAGCCTATACTACCTGAATAATTTTTACAATGGAAAAAACGTAAATAATTTTTTTTATGTACAGCTCATTAGTTTCCTAATTATTTCCTCTTCCTTCAGGACAAATAAAAAGGCATCTTTGCAGTTCATCTCTGAACAGGGCTGTGCATAATCCTATTTCAAGAAACATTACCATAGGTCTGCTGAATACAGTGATCAGTGTCTTCACCTATAGATACACAGTAGCATCTCACATTGTAAAAAATATATGAAATGCCGTCAAAACAATCTAATAAAAACATCTGCAACAAAGAAAAACACAACGACTATTTTATATTACAAGATATTGTAGTATAAATTAATAGCATTTCTCAACTCCGTAAAGAAGAAGTCAGGAATAACAGTATTCATAAATATCAGGAACAGAGCTCCCAAATCAAAACAGTAACTTAAAAAGAACAATAACTAAAAAAGAACCAAAACAGATTTGAAGAAGGCTGCAAAGTGCTTTGAAAACACTAAAAACAAAACTCAACTAGTGCCTCCAAATATCTTGCTATGAGCTTTATTTTTTCACATCCCATCCTGAAGGGCAGACAATGCTAAATTTATGACAGATTAGCAGAATTTCTCAGATATATATCACAGGTTCCACTCACTTGCATTAAATCCCCCAAAGCTTCTCTACATGGCCTACTCTAGGGAAAAAAAAAAAAAATTAAAAATAGCTGTTTTTTCCTACCTGTACATTCAGTTTTATTTACAATACCTTGAGAGACAGAAAGATGTAATGGTACAGTTACGCCAAACTATCCCACATCAATCTCAGCTGTTCTACTGAGAGTACGAGTACCAAAAAAAGTTACACTAACTTTCACAATTACACATTAATTTTTAGAACTAACACACAACAACAAAAAAGTTACCAACTTTATAAATTACAGGAAAAAAATACGAATTTTTAATTTTTAAAGAAAAATACAGTTACTAAAAATATATTTTTTACCGTACCTCTTTTTAATTTTTTTTCCAGAAAGCTGATCTTAACAGGTTATAAATAAAATTATTTCTTCAGCCACATGCCTTTGTATTTTATTTTTATTTAAAATAAAAAGTCACATAAATGATAAAAAATTTGGTTTTGGCCATTTGGCTCCCTCCCCGAAATTGACACTTTATAAAAACCTTCTGTACTTCTTTTCCCCCTCCCTCTCGCCCTCTCTACTACCTCCAAGATGGTAGGAAAGTTGTTGTTTTGGAGGGCAGAGGAGCCGCTCTCTGATGTTATGTCCTCTCAGTGCCTGTAGTGGTGCTGTAGGAGGCTGCTGGCTCTCTTCTTGAGCAGCCCCAGCAGCCCTGCCTTCTTTGCTGGAGAATATATTCAGGGATTCCCCTTAATAATCACCTACCCTCTGAACACTTTGTAGTTTTAAAATAATAAAGAGCCCCCAAAGCTTCCTCCCCGCAAAAAGCAGGATCTTCTCAGAGCCAGGGGGGCAGCAGCTCCTCAGCACAGAGCCCGAGCCCATTCCCAGTCCCTCTGCTGGGGAGGAAACTCTGATCTGTCAGCCCAACAGAGGGAAAGGGGGGAGAGGAGAGAGAGGAGAAAAAAAAAGCAGCTGGAAAGGTAAGCCAGGCCCGGCCTGCATCCCCGGGCTCGCGTAGCGCGGCAGGCGGTGCGAACGGTGCGGGGCGGGCGGGGAGGCGGGCTACG